AACTTATAGATGTTTTAACAAGCTGTTAAATGAGTAGGCATGTAATAGATAAACAATAAGATGGCCTTTTGTTTAGTTTATGAATTTCCTAATCCTTGCGGCCATTAATGCATACATTATATACATATAAAATGTAAAACTCAGTTTACAGACCAAGTGTTTCTTGAAGAAGACGATAATTTCTCAAAGAACTCGGTCTTCAGCTAGTGCAGCCTCCCATTCAGAGACGGGTGGATAATGGATTTAATTGTGTTCCTTAAGGCTTATAAATGGTAATTGGCACTGTAGTTGATACCAAAATAGTTAAAAGGATAGGGAATCCAGAAACGAAAAAAGAGAAAAATGTGGGCTTTATGTCCGTAATGTTAACAAATATTCTGACAAATGCCGACAATGCGGCATTTTTTGTTGCAAGACACAAGTAACAATTGTTGTGTTAAACATCTACCAAAACTGTACACAATAAAACTATCGAATTTTAAGGGTTTAATTGGTCTGTTGTCTTAAATCCTAAATGTTGTTTTTTATAAACAAATATTTCTTTTATTGATATTAATGACAAAAACTTTTGTTTTGTGACCTTTCTTTCATTAATACACAATAAATAGGCAATTGGAACTTGAAATAATAAAATCTAAAGCAAAATTAGGGTGGGTCAAATTTGACCCAGCTTGGGTGTCTATGTAAAAAAAAATAGCTTGGGCATCCGAGGGTTAATAGGGGCAAAATCCGTCTTATCTTAGCAAGTGCTAGTCCCACCCACCCGCCCCCTTTTTCCTCAGAGGATATGTCATTTGCCAAAATCAGCCTTATCTTAGTAAGTACTAGCCCCGCCCACCCGCCCTCTATTTTCTCAGAGGGTATCACGTCTGCCAAAATCAGTCTTCTGAGCAAGTACTATCCGCCTCCGCCCGGCCCGCCCCTATTTCCTCAGAGAATGTCATTTTCCAAAATAAGACTTATCTTAGCAAGTCCTAGGAAATACTTCCCCCTGAGAAAATAAAGGGCGGGTGGGCGTGGCTGGTACTTGCTAACATAAGTCTTATTTTGGCAAATGACATATCATTTGAAAAAATAGGGGGCGGGTGGGCGAGGCTAGTACTTGGCAAGATAAGACTGATTTTGGCAAATGACATCCTGTGAGAAAACAGCGGGCGGGTGGGCGGGCCTTGTACTTGTTAAGGTAAAACTGATTTTGCTCCTATTAATCTTGTAAAACCTAACCCTAAAAGGTGTTAAATTGCAAGTTTCCATAGTAACGAGAAATGTGCAGAATATGAAGAGTTTTTACTTGTGAGTTATAATTGCATTCATATTTTTTAGATTTGCTTATTCAAGTGAGTTAAAAAAATTGAAGAATGTATCAAGTTATTTTATTGATTAAATCAGAAACGGCTCCTCACTCCATTTTTCTAGAAAATTTTGGGAATATATTACTGTTATTTTTAGTATTACCTACACTGTACCAATCCAAGTCGATATCTCTTTAATCCCAACAAAAACTCTGCAATCCGAACTGAACTTGAAAACATGCACCTGCTTGCAAAAATGACGCAAAATCTTCTTTCTATAGGTGTTGTATTGAATTTTTAAAAAAATTTTAAAATTGTGATATTTTAGTGCACTGAATTAATTATCAAATTCTGGAAAAAAGGTTAAAGTTATCGAAGAATGAGGCCGGAAGTGACTTCTGCGCCCCGAAATTTACAAGAAAAAGTAATTAGTTAAATTTTGAAAATCGTCGAAAATGGATCGAAATTTGTTAGTACTTGACAAATGACCTACCCTCTAAAAAAATTTAAGGCGGGTGGCCCAGGCTAGTATTTGCCAAAATAAGACTCATTTTGGCAAATGACCTACTCTTCTAAGAAAAGGTACTAGCCCCGCCCACCCACCCTTTATTTCCTTAGAAGAGTGGGTCATCTGCCAAAATCAGTCTTACTTTAACAAGTACTAGCCCCGCCCACCCACCCTTACTTTCTCAGAGGATGTCATTTGCAAAAATCAGTCTCATACTTCCCAAGATTTCGGCAGATGACCTATTCTTTATCTTCTTAGAAGAGTAGGTTATTGGCCAAAATGAGTCTTATTTTAGCAAATACTAGCCCTTGTTCTTTCATGTTACCTTTGTGTCCGACATTACTGGCTGTAATATGCTTGTTACTTCCCGAGCGTAAGTGAACTTTCATAATTTATCAACATGTCATGACTTCTAAAGTACGAAAAAAGTGGTCTCCCGTTTCCGTCCGTCTGTCTGTCTGTCTGTCTGTCTGTCTGTCTGTTCGGAACTACTGGACCGATTTATTGTCACATTTTGTACGTATATATACAGATTAGGAATATCATATAGATGGTTAAACGCTAGCTACAATTTGACTAATCATCCCCACCACTAATGGAATGACGTCATCTCCAAAATTTATAATAAAAAGTTTTTTTTAATTTCATAAAATAAAATACTCCTGCACTTGTGGTGTGTGAATCTAGAGATCCAGAATTTTTGGAAAAAATGAAAAACTGAATAACAATATTTTTTAATATAACTTTGAAACTGGAAAACCAATTGCTCTAAAATCTGGTGAATATTTTAAAGTTATCGTAATGATGGTAAATCGTTAAGTAAAATTTATTCGTTTATCCCCTTCCTAAAAATTTATGACGTTATTTCAAATTTTTGCCGAATAAATCCTATCCAAAATGTACAAAATATGATGAGTCTATACTTGAGATTTATCAATGCATTAAAGTTTTTAAATTTCATATACAGGGTGACTCAAAAATTAATGAATGAGTCGATTTCTTTTATGGATTAAATCGGGAACGGCTCACTCCATTTTCCCGAAAATTTGGGAAAATAGTATTACACTACACCTATCCAAAGTGATATAGGTGTCTTTCCAAAACTCATTTGGAACGTACCCCAGGACGCTTCTTTACTTTAACGTTACATATATATATATATCTTTATTTTAACTTGTAACGGTTCTCATAAAAAAATAAAGTTCGCATAATCGAATTTTATAATTTTTCGAAAAAGCTGGATTTGTGTTCTTGTATTTCGACCAATTTTTTTAGTCATCTTCATGTCAATTATTTTCTTGATTTCCGCGTTCTGAATATCGACAATAAAAAGTGAACCAAAAAAGAGAAAACAGAATTTTAATCATCTTGAGAAAAACATGTGTTAGATAATTTCGGGCAACAATAACACATTCAACCAAAACAAAACCACTTCAGTTTTCCTTTCAAATTAACCTTTAATTTCGCAAATTTCTTCACGCGAATTAATGTCCCTGAAATCCGATGATTTAGATCCACCTGTCTGTGTGTTTTCGGTCAAATTAGAAAAATCGCGCCGCTTGTTAAATTTGTGCGAGGCTAAATTCGTGAGATTTTTTCGCTGATTGAAATAACTGTGTTTCAGTATTCTTGAGTTTTGTATAGAAACGGTTCTATTCACGATTGTTACACAACTTTGAAAAGATCAGCAGGACATTCTAATGTGCTGTGTAGATAAAATTCTTGCAGTGTAACGTGCTCAAGTTACTATGTTTAGAATTTTTTCTTGGTGAACATCAGACTAGACGGATGAAATTCAAACTGTTGGCAGAATGTGAGCAAAACAGGAAATTCCCCTTAGGGAAGGCATGCAATCCGCTGAAAGAGGAGATCTAAGGCCTCACAAGTTTAACTCAATTATGGTTGGATGCACATGCAACAAACATCAGCGATGTAGCGACAAGCGATAATTTTTTTTGTGTTAAATGTTTCAAAGGTAAACTAAATGAATAAGTATCAATTTTCGATGCTGGAAGAACACACATTTTTAACCAAAATTACAGGATAACTTCACCATTATTTCAAAAAAAAGCGGCATTTTGTTTTTTTTTTTTAATATGAAATAATGAACTCAACTGTTCTGAAACTCAAGTTTGTTTTTCTTTTCACATAAAGATAAACTATTTTTACAAAACAATACGAAGAATTACATATCCTGTAGAATCTAAACTTAATTTCAGATATGTTCTGAAAAATCAAAATGCTAAACCACAGTCGATTGAGACATCCTATATATGTAAACGTTTGGAAATTGTGTCCTCGATTCAGAAACCATCGTAACCTCTGCCTCCAGCTTCCGACTTTTTCAACGAAATCGGCACAAACGCATAAAATTACTCCGGTTCCATCTATAAGTATAATTTTAATAAATCCACGTCCGATAAACTGGCGCCATGGTGTTTATCCATTAATATAAGTTCCCATCCAAAATTATGACCATTGCTCTATTAATACAAACGCGTCCAGTATGAATGCAAAATTCTCTGTTTGTCGTCGGTCGTCTGTCTAAATTTAGCTAAAAGAACAGCAGACAGTTGACCCCAACTATTTCCACCAGCAAATTCCGTCTAAACCCAATCAGACAATTCCAGTAACATTTTTATCGCGCCGCCGTTTCGACCACCAACGGTGTCGAAAGAGATAAAACCGAAAACGCGCATCCCTCCGAGGGTAAATACAAGACATTCCCATCAAAGATAAACAAGTACTTATCCGACTTGGATGTAGGTTTTCGGTTTAGTAATTTTTATTTGGAAAAAACCATCTGGCTGAAGCTCAATTCGGAACAATGGGAGGCGGTTATTCACAATACGTAGTTTGGATAAGCCTTGTTTTAATAGTAGCATTTTGTGAGTAACTGGCGCCACTGCAATTTCTTTGTTTAAAATGTCGGTTTGCAGTTATGATTTGCAGCTGCTGCTTTTTTCATTGTAGCGCATTCTTGTATATTTCTTTCGTGTTTTTCAGCGTTTCGCCCTTCTTATCGCGATCACGGTATATCAATGAACTTTGGCAACGATTGGCATATAAATAAACTCCAAGGCTTTACGACTTCAGGGAAATTAATTTCTCTAAACATCTGTGTGTACTCGCGTTCCGGGTCACTAAATTTAATTTGTCGGACGCTGCAAAAATAAAATAAAAATGTCGCAACAACTTACCGAAAAGTCCACCAGATGTTGAAGCACATGGTGTTCAGCCAGAAGAAGGCCGCCAAAAAGAGGAAATGCATCGATACGGCTGGAAAAAATAAAGGAGTGATAAATTCAAGGATTGGGGGCATAAACAACATGCTGACCCAAATAACCTGCATTCAAATCATGTACGCTGCTATAGAAATCGAGATTTTTTCGATTTACAATGTTCTGAATGGACGTTTCGCAATTTTTGATAAATCTTGCATCAACGAATATCAAGGAACTATTTTAAACTTAAAAAATCTGAGGCTCCAGAGACTTCGTGAGGTTGATACAGCTCATGGACTTGACACAATAATTTTAAGAAATCTTAAATTTCAAACTAGATAATGAATTCGTAGTATCAAAAAGCAAAAAATTTAATTGGAAAAAAATCTAGTAACAAGTAACATTTTTATCGCGCCGCCGTTTTAACATTTTTCGTCAAGTCACGTTAAACAATAGCTTGTCAAATTGAAGGACTAATAAATGATGCGAGCAGATTACTTCCCAAAATGTTTTCTTGGAGAAGTAGTAGGTGGCTGCCCAAGGCAACAGTTTAGATACATAATCATGTGCTTAATCGTTCCTAGCAGTCCTTATAATAGTTTTTAAATTGACTGTGTCGTAACGGAAGATGTATATTATGCATAAATTATTTGTCAAATTTGGAAAATAAATTGGGTTATGCTGTCGCAGATGAACATGACCTCCCTCCTTCTAACTTCAACTGTAAAATAATTAAACATTATTTTATTATTTTGTCTAATTTTTTCTTAAAGATGATTGTACTGCTGTAGAACTCCACGTTTATACACAAAATTTACTAGCGAAAATCCCATATAAAATAATTATTGACAAGTAGCCACCCTACTACATTGATTTGGCTTTGGAATATACAGTGCTTTCACCACATACTCTACAACTTGAATTAATTAGGCGTTATTACAATATTAATATAAAAATTGAAACTGACATATTCATATATTTTTTTAATATACACATACAGGTACAAGTTTTTTTTCAAGCTCAGCGCATTACAAGTTTTCAACCGTCAGCTACAATCTGCTTACGCCTTAATGAACATCGCATTTCAAGCATGTTCAAAAAACTTGTCAGCAATGTTGTCGGATGACGGAAATTTTCTTTTTTACTGAGAAGCTACGACACAAAATAGAATAAGAAATTTCAATAAAAATCGGCGAAAAAATACTGTTCATGTTTAAACCATAAGTCGTGCAATTATCACACTTGTTACTTACAGTCATTATTTTTCATGACTACAACCTTATCCTGTTCTTTCAGTAAAGCAAAAAGGAAAAAAATCCTGCTTATTGTAAAATAAGTTAGTTAATGACTTTAAAATTTAAAAACAATACAACCAATACTACTACAGCGGAGTAACTACAATTAAAAAACAATAACTTAAAAGCCAATAATATTTTACAACAATACCCGACGAGGTAAATTATTTAGTTTTAGTAATTGCTTTGTGTTGTTTATACATCGTTAATTTTCATTGCGACACATACAGGTGTTTTTAGAAGAAACCATATATACTTTCTTACCTTATTAATTTCCTTCTCTAATACTACACTATTTCGGAAAAATTTCTCTGCGGGTTGCCATAATTCCCTAAACACTCGGATAGAATAAAATAGACAAGGACTAGTTTCCGTGCTTGATTACAGAAATTGATTGCAAAGTATCTTCTTCAGGTAGAAACTGTGTTGTAGTATCGCACAATAAAATGTATTCTACTCAGAAAGTACTTTTCTGAAGATAAAAGTGAGGAGTGTAAAAAAGTAACCGCCACATCTGTACAAATCATTAAAAAAAATGAATATATATTTAAATTTATCATGGGTGGATTTTAAATGAGAAGTAGTGTTTTTTTTATCAACCTGACTTAGTGAGAAATCGAACAAACCGAGGAATACTGACAATTCGAAAATAAAACAAAACGAAACATCGGAATGAAATATATAGAGATTATCTTGTATTTATCTTCTATTTCTATTTTGGGACTTTAAAATACTTCCGACTTCTGAATTAATCGATTTTTTTAGTTTTTCGAGTTTTCGATTTTTCGTCTTTCCGATTTCTCGATTTCTCAATTTTTGGATTTCTCGAATTTTCAATGTTTTAAGTTTTGGGATTTTTCAATATGTATTTCGATTTTTAAATTTTTAGATTTTTTGACTTTGTTTTTTTTTATTTTTTACATATTCGATTTTTGAAAATTTTGCAAATTTTTGAATCTTACGTTTTTCGATTTTTAAATTTCCTGATTTTTCGATTCGTTGATGTTTTGATTTTTCAGTTTTGTAAATTTTCAATTTTTAAAATTTTAGGTTCTTCATTTTTTTGTTGTTTCGATTTCTTAATCTTTTGATTTTTTGCCTTCTCGTTTTTAGCTTTTTCGACTTTTCAATTTTTCGGAATTAATTTTTCAGTTTTTCGATATCTTGATTTTTTCAATTTTCGATCAAACGGTTTTCTTTCGATTTTTCGCCTTCTCGGTTTTAGATCGTCCGATTTTTCAATTTTTCGAAATTAATTTTTCAGTTTTTCGATGATTTTTCACTCTTTCAGTTTATCGTTTTCTTTTGATTTTAAATTTTTCAATTTTGAATTTTCCCATTTTTCGATTTTTAGCCTCTTCCATTTCTCAATTTTTCGATTGCAATTTCTCGGTTTTTTGATAATTCATCTTTTCGATTTTTCGATTTTCCAATTTTTCAACGTTTCAGTTTTGGGATTTGTGTATTTAAATTCGAGTTTTCATTTTTTCAATTTTTGGGGTTTGTAGATTTTTGCATTTTTCAATTTCTGGATTAATCGACTTTTTAATTTTTCGACTTTTCGATTTTTCGTCTTTCCGATTTCTCGATTTCTCAATTTTTCGATTTCTCAAATTTTCAATGTTTAAGTTTTGGGATTTTTCAATATGTATTTCGATTTTTAAATTTTTAGATTTTTCGACTTTGTTTTTTTGATTTTTTACATATTCGATTTTTAAATTTCCATGATTTTTCGATTCGTTGATACATATTTCGATTTTTCAATTTTGTAAATTTTCAATTTTTCGATTTTTAAAATTTTAGATTCTTTATTTATTTGGTGTTTCGATTTCTCAAGTTTTCGATTTTTGCCTTCTCGTTTTTAGCTTTTTCGATTTTTCATTTTTTCGGAATTAATTTTTCAGTTTTCCGATATTTCGATTTTTCAGTTTTCGATTTAACGGTTTTCTTCCGATTTTTCGCCTCTCGTTTTTAGATCGTCCGATTTTTCAATTTTTACTTCCCGAGCGTAAGCAAAGGAAGTATTGTAATCGAGTCCGTCGGCCGACTCTCTACTTTTACGTTTTCTCGATCTTTCATGACCCCTAGAAGACTAAGAAATAGGTCTCCCATTTCCGTCTGTCTGTCCGTCCGTCTGCCCGTCCGTCTGTCCGTCTGCCCCCGGATTTTTATTAGACAGATAATCTCCGAAAGTACTCGACCGATTGTTGTGAAATTTTGTACTTATATTAAAAATATCATGTAGATGGTAAAACGCTAACCAAAATTTGTCTAATCATCCCCACCACTAATGCGATGACGTCACTTCAAAATTGTACATAGTAAATGGGTTTTCAATTGTATAAAATAACATAGTCCTACACATGTAGTTTACAACTCTGAATCGACTTTTCACCCGAAACGTCCAGATTTTTGGAAAAAAAATCAAAATTATAAAACAACATTTTCAAATTTAATTTTTAATCTGCTAACCAGAATGCTTTGAAATGTTGCAGATGTTTTAAGGCTATAAAGAGCATCACAAATCTTTAGTCAAAAAATATTTGCTTATCCCCTCCAAAAACTTGATGACGTCAGCTCAAAAGTTTGTGGAATAGATCATATCTAAAATGTACAAAATATGATGAGTCTGTACTTGTGATCTATCACTCCATTCATATTTTTTGGATTTGCATATACAGGGTGACTCAAAAAAATTAATGAATGCGTAAATATATTTTATTGATTTAACAGGAACTACAAAACCGAATGCTCTGAAATCTTGCAGATGTTTTAAGGTCATAAAGAGCATAAAAAATGTTTAGTCAAAATATATTTGCTTATCCCCTCCAAAAACTTGATGACGTCATCGTCAGCTCGAAAGTTTGCCGAATAAATCATATCTAAAATGTACAAAATATGATGAGCCTGTACTTGTCACTTATTACTCCATTCATATTTTTTGGATTTGCATATACAGAGTGACTCAAAAAAATTAATGAATGCGTAAATATATTTTATTGATTTAATCAGTAACTACAAAACGGAATGCTCTGACATCTTGCACATGTTTTAAGGTTATAAAGAGCATAATAAATGTTTAGTCAAAATATATTTGCTTATCCCCTCCAAAAACTTGATGACGTCAGCTCGAAAATTTGCCGAATAAATCATATCTAAAATGTACAAAATATGATCAGTCTGTACTTGTGATCTATCACTCCATTCATATTTTTTGGATTTGCATATACAGGGTGATTCAAGAAAATAAATGAAAGCGTAAATTTATTTTACTGATTTACTCAGGAACTACAAAACCGAATGCTTCGAAATCTTGAAGATATTTTAAAATTATCATAAGCATGGTAAATTTTTGATCAAAACGTATTTGGTCGTCCCCCCTAAAAAATTTATGACGTCATCACAAAATTTTGCTGAATAAATCCTATCTAAAATGTACAAAATATGGTGAGTCTCTTCTTGTGATTTATCATTCCATTCAAATTTTTTCGATTTGCATATACAGGGTGACTCAAAAAAATTAATGAATGCGTAAATTTATTTTATTGATTTAATCAGGAACTACAAAACCGAATGCTTTGAAATCTTGCAAATGTTTTAAGGTTATAAAGAGCATAATAAATTTTTAGTCAAAATATATTTGGTAATCTTCTACAGAAAAGTGATGACGTCAGCTCAAAAGTTTGGCGAATAAATCGTATCTAAAATGTACAAAATATGATGAGTCTGTACTTGTGATTTATCATTCCATTCATATTTT